ACCCACCCCATCTCCACAAGGCCCAAATCTCTCTCATCTGGAGAGCACAGTTTCCATTTAAAATGTCACGTCCCAAACTGCACATTACATCAAATTGTACTTAATGGCATCCAGACAAACTTTAATGTCGTTCCAACATTTTCTCTCTTTGCACCCCACAGCCCCCTCGCTCCTTATAGCCAAGCAAGCAATCTCTCCTTCTCCCTGTTGCACATCTGGACTCCATTCCAGGTGGGGTATTGAGAAAGGGGAGAATGTCGGGAAGGAAAGGTGGAACGCAGAGAAGCTTGGAGGCTCAAAAAGTAGTGCTGAGATAATGTCTTGAGGGAGATTTTGGTGGAAGTTATGCAAGCTTTTGGGATGTAGGACAGACAATACGTGAGATTGCTAATGATTCCCCTTGGGCATGTTCCTGTTGTCCTCCAAATCACACGTTAGGGCAGAAATATCTAAAAACAATGAGGTTTTCAGCACAATCAGAGATGTGAACCAGACCAAGTGACTGCTCAGATTGAGGCATTGCTCAGGCCAGTGTTTCTGCCAAAGGATAAACAAAAGAAAACTTCCAGCCGGGAAGCAAATATCAGGCCCTCTATAAGGCCCTCGACTGTTGCTGAGTTTTTCTTGAGGAGCCTATGACATCTAGTGGTGTGATCAGCAGCACACAGAAAGCAACTCTTTCTCAGCCGCTCTGTCAGTACACCAGTCAGTCCTGCAGTCATGAGCATTTCCTGGATGGATGGTTTTAATTAAGGATTTATGAGGACATTAAACCCACTGCTTCCACAGTTTTACGGGGTTATCAAGTCATAATGCGGTGCCATATTTTTCAGCAGTAAATACCTTTGTCAACCATTAAGAATTATTATTAGCAGTAGATGTAACAGCAGTAGTGGTGATAATCCTAATGGCAGTAGCATTTAATCCAGTATACATGTTGTTGTAGCACTGGTTTTACGATGCTATGTTTGTATATTCTTGTTTATATGTACAAAGCACATACGTTATATTTTGTAATCCATATTAAAGGGAGCACTGAATTTTGTACTAACTGGGTAAATCCACATGTAATAAAGTAATCCATACTTATATAAATGTAGTTGTTAGCTGTATGCTTATATGAAACAAAATTTGATTCGCCAAAGTTAAGATACACATTATGTGCAGTAGTAGTTCTACTCCTGAGTTATTTTTCCTCCCTCATTTTTCAGCCTGTCAAAAGTTCAGATGCACTTTTGAAGCTGTGGTGATGTCGCCCTCTTCTGGTTAGCAGAGGGAATAATATGAATATTGTTTAAAAGGATCTTTTACACAGGATAATTCTAGTTGGGCTATGAAAAGTAAGACAGGGTTAGTCCCTTCTGACAGAACACAACCCCAGGATGTTTTACATTAAACAAAAGGCAATCCGATTTAAAACTCACTCTGGCAATGTGCTGCATAACTCTACCCTTGTCAAACCTGTCCTCTTAGAACAGGGATGTGTCTGCTCCCCATTGATTAATGCTGTAAACTACAGCCAGTTGATCATATACTTTCAAGAGTGTCTGTACAACAGTCAAAACAAATTATTCTCATGTGACCGCTGAACCTGGAATTTGAACAGGAAGCAGACTGACAACAGCTCAATCGGAGAGATCTGAGTAGTTGGTCTGATGTGTATCTTCCAAGTCTCATGGGCCTTGTTACTGTATGTAATTGTGTGGTGAAACTGAGGTCATCAGTGTTCCTCTACTCCAGTATTACCAAAACAGACACCAGTAGGACAGTGGCAACAGTCCTTTCTTCATGTTTCTTATGTAACATGTCCCCTAACATTGCTATCAGGGATTCATTTTCATCCCAAATGGAGAATTAAAATATAAAGTCATGTTTTATATGCAGTTAAACACTGACATAGTACAGTGTTTACAGAGGGTTAAGTATTTTATAGTTTAATTTGATAAGTCATAGCCAGAAAAGCACAGGTGTAACTAATAACATTAACAATTGCAGGGCCCTCTTGTTGTGCATGCTGGCTTACTGAGACATCAATGGAATGGAGTCATCATTATCGTAATTAGGTACATCTGTGTTTTACTGCAGAGATGCAACCAAATGTTAGCTGCGAAAAAAGTCTATTGAATTTAAAAGACAAAATCATGTAATCTATTACATAAAGTATCATTACCAACTAGAAATTGTTTTGTTCATCTATATATTACCTATTTATTACGAGTTAAAATGTATTATGAGTCAAATATCGGCCTTACCTGTTTGGCAAAGAGTCTAAAAACAACTTCCGTTGACCCCTGCAAGGTGATAATAATGTGAAGTATGTAATGTGAAGTCGGTAAAAATACTTTAAAAAGAGCCAGACATACCGACAAAGTAAAGAAACTGTGATAAGGTAGGAAACCATTTCAAATCCAACAACTTATAGCAACACAGTCATCATCACTGAAGAAGCTTCGGGTTGTGCGATTTTATTTAGTGCCACATGAAATGCAAACATTATAGTGTGTCTCTGAGTATTGCTGTAACTGGAAGTGTAGTATCGTCATCAATTCTTTTCACACTAAATGTCCTGTGCACACATTATGCATTTTAAATGGTCTATATTATAGAATACAGTTCAATCACAATAACATCAAAAATATTTGTATATTGAATGAATTTATAGTCCCTCATAAGCAACAAAACAGCAAAACAATTCAGCATATATGTATTTTTTTCATTATTTCTACTCATAGATTCTGCTTACAAAAGAAATATAGAAAAACTCAAAGGCTTTAGGCCCGACTCTAGCGCAAAATTCACACACACTCCATCGCGTCTGCAACAACTTTACCCCCCTTCCCTTCTCTCTCTCTCTCTCTCTCATGCACACACACACATAGTCACGCACACAGATGTAGGGGAAGGCACGCAGAAGCCACCACACTTCTGCATGTGAAAGCATGCACTCATACACACCCACACCCACAGCACTGTCTGTGTACAGTACATCTTTAAAATGGCAATGGCATGCAGTGTAGGTGATATTTTGGTCCCTTTGTGTCAGCAGGAGATTCAAATGATTATCCAGATCCTCAGAGAGTCAGAGAGCCAGTCCTGTTGAGTTTGTCTAAAGCGTTGGTGTTATGTAAATCTGGCCTTAGTACAATGTGATGTGGGCTTGAGTCCACGGCAGCTGTGCATAATTAGAGCCAAGAATAATCTAAAGAGACTGTGGAGGCTGGGCCATATGGAAAACAAAGCCCCAATTCTCTTACATTATAAGAAAAGGCAAGAAAGTGAATCATAATATTGCAAAGTATGGTTAAATTTGATCAGAAAAGAACATCCTGTGCCATATAGCTGACTAGTGTCCACCTCCACGCCCCATCCCAAGGTCTATAACTGAGTCAGATGAGGTGGCGCTTCAGGCAGACAAGCAGCACTCTACGTCCAGAGCGGGGCAGGTGTGAGGCGGCAGACTCATTGGCGAGGGGACACGGTGGCTCGAGGGGAACTACCTAGGCCTTGGTGCCTCTCTTTGGCGTGCTTCTCACAGTACATCATATCTCCAGCCCAAAAGTGACCTCTCATTCTGAGGTTAAGGCCGCAATCTGTGCAAGTGTAGCACTCTGCGTGGCGGAAGTGGTCGTCTGTGATGCGCACAGCCAGCGTGCTGTGGAAAGATGAATGCAGTCAGACACCAGGCAAAAGGGTGAAATGTATTTCCAATGCAAATCAGCTCGAGAGCTACAAAAGGTCAGCACAGATAAACATCAGTTTCATTTGTATCTGTAGAAAAACACGTTGACACCACAGCAAATTATTGTATGTTCACGTCATACTGATTAAAACTGAGACTTTTAATCTTGTTTAAATAGAAACGAATGCCTCACCTGTTACCTATATCACTTACATCATTGGTTCTCAAACGTTTTATGTCATGTCCCCCTTCAGAAGTCGACAAAAGGTCATGCCCCACATGTTTTAGCATTCATTAATAATAATGAAAAAGAAACTAATAAAAAAGTACAAGTTCAATTTTAGCGATATAAAGCTGTGGTAAATCATCATTTAACTGTTCCACTCCACATTTTCCCCCATCTCATGTATACCCACTTGCAGTGGCTCTATGCCCCACCGTTTGAGAACCACTGACTTAAAGTAAAACTTCCCCACTGGCAGATTTGTTTTTAATTGAGTTGTGTAAAATAAAGCTCAGTTTTAAACTCAATTATTAACAATTAAATATAAATTAAAGAGATTTGTTCAGTGCATTCATTAATTAGATGCAACAGTCAACCTAATAACCGGTTGTTACCTTGGAGAGTAAACATACTGCCGCACGCACACTTAATATCACACTCTACATGTGGAACATCTTTTACTGCAGGGCAAATTATCATTGTAATTATTCACACCTCAAAGTTATTCCACTGAACGTGTAAGTGCAGGTGACAGAAGACTTACAGAATGCTAGTTCCACACTTCTCACAGGTGTGGGTTTTTTTGACTCCTCCTACTGATGTTGTTGGTTTGGGGACGTTGGATGAAAGATTCCCTGGGAACCGCAGGGCAGCCTCTAAAGTCAAACACACACATGAACACACACATGAACACACACATGAACACACACATGAACACACACATGAACACACACATGAACACAGGGATGTTCTGACAGGCTTGAGTCTCTCTGTTCATCATGTCAACACTGTTCGTGTTCACAGCCCTCTGTCAGTGGAGCTTGTTTGTGTTTCCCACTCGACATCACTAGCTCATCACCCATGGGACACGCTTCATGAAACGGGGTTTCCACACATTGGTCATTATCACGTCATAAAAGAATGTTATTGCTATCTGGATTTATTTGCCCTGACATTTATCAAAGCAAAGGGGGGAAAGGAGGACAGATGCATTCCATGATATGACGTTCGCAATATAAACGGCACACAGGAGAGCTTTTCTCTATATCCTGCACAGGTGATGGCCATATGGAAGTCCAAGTTACAGTTCAGTAACACATACTCGCTCGCTTGTTCTGTTCTGCACGATGCACTACTACAGAGAGGAATGTAAAATGCTACCAGGAAACAACTATAGGAGATTACATAAATTATATTGGATTTGATTCCCTGAGAATAGCCCCTGCTAACAGTTTATGGTGATAAACCATCAGTACAAATCAAAAAATGGATGCAATCCATTTACTTTTGCTCCTCCATGCTAACACATTCATGTCCCATTCATTTTCTATACTTCCTCATCTTTCTCAGGGTTGTGTGTCAGAGACAGACTGACCATCATTTAACTTTATTATAGATTTTACATAAAAATGACTGATGATTAAATGATCATAATTCACAGTACAATATGTATGTGAATATTTGTGCAACTATGAATACTATTGAGCTTGCATGCTAAATAAGCAGTGATTATTTCTCATTGCAACTGTGCACATTTGTTTGTAATGCAGAGTGCTTCTAACCTTTCTCATCAGCCTCCAGGACCTCTTGCAGCATTTTAAAGGTGTTGGACTGACGAGGTGCAGTGCGTGACTCCTTATTCTCCTGGATCATCTTGTACACCTCTGAGTCCCTGTCGAACTTCTGCATGGCGAAGTCAGAGCTTGAACTGCTGTAGAAAGAAGAAATACGGTCACAGGTTATCACATTCACTAAAATCATACATTGAGCTCTTGGTGAAGTGTTCATTAGAAAATGTAAATTCATGGAAGATTTGACTTGACAACTATGATGTCTACGTTGCACACCACAGGCAAGAGGCCAAACAGTGCTCAATCACATATGGTCAACAGGATCCCGTCATATCCCCTTACCAGAAGCACTGTTTCTATGACAGAAAACTGCTTCAAGACAAACCAAAGAGGACATAAGGCTGTTAGCAAAAGCTGTATACAGCATGCAAATAAAAAAAAAAAAAAACAGCAACCATGCTTGTGAAGATGAAGTACAGAGTCCTAGGCCTGACACAAGGCATAATCGACATGAGCTTTGTACCTTGTACTAATAGTCTACCAAACCACCAAAAAAACAACAAGAAAAAAACACTTCTAACTTTGCATCTTGTGGGTGTTTCCTTACGGTCAGTGCACAGGAGGGTGCAGGAGGCGAGAGGAAGCTTTCACCTTCAGGTAGTATACACTGTCAAGTCATTAAGAAATTAGAAGAAAGAACAGTGGCTCACTTTACAAGCAAATTCTGAACCCCTGGTGTGGTGGAAAAGCAGTTACTTTTTACAACTTCTTCCATACTTAATGTGTGTTTGAATACCAATCCTTCTCTACCCCAGTTTAAGAAGCACATGTATTAAATTCTGGACTGACAGATGTATTGGTGAGTAAAAAAGAAAACACAAAGACACAAAGTCTGTTCTCGTGTCAGTGTATTTGTCTGCAGGGAGCTGGTGAGTGTTTGCTGTCAGCAGGAACTGGTTGCCCGGGTATACTAGTTGGGCTAGGTGTGGTTTGATGCTTTCCACCTGCAGCCAACTTGTCAACCATTGTTAGACAACTTAACCTGACTGACTGCCACACCTGTTGTCAAATGCAACAAATCTACCCAAATATTTACTCAGAAACCCGTGCTGTGGACAATCTGCTCAGAGACGATGACCTAAACCTTGACCATTTATCGTATAATACATGTAAACCTTTATAGCATCACTGCACCATGCAGCCTTGTATTTAGCTATGTTGTTGTACAAGCACACGATTGGACAGTGAACATTTTGCATCAAACTAGTTGTGTTTGCCGTGTACTCCTGCACACTGGCTCTGAACTAAAACAAGTTTGGGGTGTAGCGTAGGAATTTTTTGTCCAATTCCAAAATTTACTGGAATTGGACAAAATGACATAAATTTGATAAAGATAACCACATAATTGGTTTCCAACTATTTGTAGTCAAATGGCACAGACATCAGCAAATTCTTTGTATCTTCCCTGGTGATGCTCTGCCAGGTCTGTACTGCAGCAACCTTCACTTCTTGCTCGTTTCGGTCTTTTGCCTTCAGTCTGTGAAACACATGCTCAGTTGGATTGAGGTCAGGTGACGGACTTGGCCAGTCAAGAACATTAAGCTGTTTGGTCAGAAAAAAAAAATATCTGGTTTTCCTGCTGTATTGTCCTGAAATTGGCAGACTATGCATGATACGTGCTTTCGAGAGCTGCCTTTGAGTCTCAAAGACCCTTAAAGCTTAAAGTCAGCCCTGTACAATCGCAGTCATTTTATTTTAATTCTAATGTGCAAAAGTACAAAGACAAAACCTTCAAGACTGTGTTACTGGCCAAATAATTACAGACCACTCTTATAGTATAATGTCTCATTGTGTTGCATATGTTTCTTAAGGGTTTTATAAGCTACATGACTGTGTATGTGGTTTTTATACGTGTATTGTCCCTGCCTGGATTTCAGCTTTAGGTTTAGACTTCCTGCTCAAAGAACGTGGCTGAAACAGGAGATGGCAAACAGACAAGACAACAAATATGCGACCAAAGCAAATGCTCAGACCCTTTCCTCTGCATCACCGAACATGGTTCAAATTGAAAACAGACCTCTAAAGAACACCCTCCAAGTTCTCCACATGCTCAACTCCACCCTCAGTCCATTTCCCCTTTATGCTTCTCTCACCATCCCTTCTGAAATTGCAATCTCAAAACAAATGGAAAGTCCAGGTCAAATGGGAGGAAAACAAATAACAGAAGTGAGAGGGAACGGCATGCATCTGAATAAGCATTTGAGTGCACAAATTTGCAGTGGAAGCAGTTTTACAAAAGTATGAGACAGCTTCAGAGCAGTTTGTCTTGGGGACTTTGCTTTTAAAATGTTGTCACATCAAAATGTATGCATCTAAGATGAATGTGTGGCTGGTTTCCATACCCAGACTTGGCACACAAGAACAATGATAATGATCTAGTCATAGCACATGCATGTAGCCAAAACATAGAGATCACAAGGCTAAAATCCCAGCCACATTACTCAGACTTACTCAAGCTCATTTACAAAACCAAAGTCAGTGTGACAAAAGAAATCCAAATGACAAAACTCAAAATGACCAGACTCACCTCAGAAAGAAAGAAAGATGGAACAAAGGAAGGGAGCTCAACTATTCTTTCCAGTAACTGTCCCTGTATTTCTAACACTGCTGTAGCAACTCAGGAAACACGAGAAAGAAAAAAACAATATTAGCACACGCATGCAGATGCCGAACACACACCTCTATCTAAACCAGACGAGACAGAAAAACAAGAGTCTGACTGAAAGGTGTGCCTCTGGCCTAAAACTCATTGGCCATGCAACATGAAGGGGTGGGTAAATGGGTGTCACTGAGTCTGTGATTGGCTGGGCAGGAGCAGGGAGAGGCTTGGTGTGCAGGCTGGGGGCTCCAGACTGGGGGCCAATCAGGGGGAGAAATGAAATCAGACTTTTTGGGGAATATGTGGTGTTTGCATATGACTGCAGTTGCTGACATGTCATATCACTAGCCGTGGTTACCCGGGGGGTGGGGGACTGGGGCCAAAGTCAACCATCCTGCACTGTGAAAACACAAGCACCAGGCTTTCCAGCTGAGAGTGGACAGAAAGGATTATGTAAGAGACTAAGAGAAGATTTTCATTTCTGCTGGGACAAAAACAACTGGTGAGTCTAAGTGAATCCAAAACATGTTCAGAGGGCAGCACCTGCACGCTATCAAATGAGTCAAATTACAGCTACATCACCTCACCAGAGGCAGCAGAGCAGGAAGAAGGAAACTGTAGTGCAGGTGGTGGACACAATATAGTGTTTCCCAAAGGCTGAAAATTAATTTGTAGCTGTCGAGTCAGAGTGCAGCTGCAACAGCTTTAAGCACCAAGAGTCAGCTGCTTTCACAAGCTGACTAACACTCAATGAATGCATTGGTGTGACTGAAAAGGCAGTTGAAAGTGCAAATGGAAATGGACTGAAAAGACAAACAGAGGAAGCTATAATTATAAATATACAAAGGAATGTTCCTAGCAGAAACTGGCTACCCAGATAAATTCCAAAAATGAATAATACTGTTGGTAGTATTATAATAATAATGGTAGTACTGTTACTGTTAAGTATAACAACCTCATTTAATCCAACACAACCTCCCGGCAATAAAATACTCCATTTTTCAAGCTTATGGTGATTTTATGAATAACTATAACTATAACTATAACTATAGCTTTTTTCCACTATGCATGAAGCAATTTTATAAGCATTTCGGGACCAGGTTTAATTTCTTAGCCCTGAATCTGTGTGTAACCCCTACTGCCCTATAGATGGCGCTGAATGACTGTACATTATACTCTTGTTAGATACTACAGACATAGCTAGTGCTATCACAACTATAAAGTCAATTTTATATTTATTTTGATATATATTTTTATTCAATATAATGAGAGTAAAAGCTTGCCATTTTATACTCAAGCAGTCATAAAACTAAAATGGAGTTTATTGGTAGTTCTGCATGTTGTGCATTTTGTGGACAGTAAAATAAATAAAGTACAGCGTGTACTGTGTTGTTTTTCAATTTTTCCAAGCACAAGCAATAACTTGGATTGGAATAACTACTACTACAAATCTGTCATTTCAACCTTGTGTTTTATAGCAAAAAAATGGTGCAAGATTAGAGGTGCATATCCATTGAAGCTGGTGTAATATATATATATATATATATATAACTTTTGCAGTGAATTATGGTGTTTTGACACATTTTATTGGTGTTTGCTTTACCTGCGACGAGGGGACATGGGTACGTCCCGATCAATTGGGCTATGAGGTGAGTAGCGTCCTGGTGGTGTTGGGGTTCTGCTGGATACAGAGTTACTTCTGTAGTCTGAAGGGGAGAACTCCTGTGTAGGAAGAGAAAGGCGACAATGAAAGCAAGACAGAGTGAGTAAGCATGAAAGTCAAACTTCCTGCAGCAGCCGAAACCAACTTTGTAGTTCAGAGTTGAGGAATCTATTGAGACAGTGTGCAAGTGCTTAGACCATGACGCAATGTTACTGTAAAAAAAAGTCACAAAAAGAGCTATGTTCAGTGCAGAGGCAGGCATTCCAGCAGTATTTCTGGATTACTGCTCCACCTAGCAGCGTATTGGCACTGAACAAATGTAGTGTCCTTGTTTCAGGAAGCTCTAAATCAGGGGAGATTGTGCTGTATGACAAGTGGGAATAAAACAAAGTCTGACACACCATCATGTACAGTAGGATATATCCAGTCAAGATCAAAACAGGAGACATTTATCAGCAGCTTAAATGAGATCCACATGGAGAAACACCACGGACAGAAAACTGATGATCTCTCTCTCCACTTCTTCATCATAACATTTGACTGAAACCTGATGAAGTTCTTAAGTTTAAAGTACACAATAAAAAAAAATACACTTGGTCATTGTTTATTTGAGAGCACAGGGCACCAAATACAATCAAAGTTTCTATTGCATGAGTCACTCCCAACATTCCTCTACTGCAGGCTTGTCAGTCCCAACAATCACAGCAACCCACATTAACATTTTTTATCTTGATTAACATTTATATCAGAGCTGTATTTCATCCCCTCAGCTGATAGATGATAGATAATGGGGCAACAGATGTTTGGCACTGACTCCAGTGTTGGTCTGATGGGAAAGAGAGCCAGCATACACTTCAATAGGTTCCAGATGCAGGGCAAATCTCACAATTATTCATGGCAGTTGTAAACATCGTGAAATGAGAGAAAACATTCCACGTAGCGAGAACCTCATTCGGTCAAACTGAACACTTACTGTACAAACAACAGTGTTATTCAGGAAAGAAAGCATGAAAAGTTTTGTTTAAGTGAATATTTGACTTTGACAGAAGAGGGCACTATATACCTACTGTACACGAGCAGCTTATAAACCAAGGCCTCATGATGATGTGCCAATGACATTTTTTATTGGAGCTGTTCTTAGCATAAGCCAAAGGCAGCAGCAGCTACAACATTTTGGGCAAAGGTTGATTTATTTAAGTTTAATGATGTCCTAAGAGAGTAGGGGTGAGCCACTAGTGAACCTGACCTCAGGCACATGTTCACACTAAACACTGAGCACACCTGGACCAAGTCTGCACAGCACATAACTCAACCCAGACACTTTTACTGTCAGGAATCCCAACAAACTAATTGTTTTTCACCACAACACTGTCTGGCATCTAACCCTGTCCGGCATCTAACCCTGTCCACCTGTGATATGGACCACTTACTGATAACAGAAAGCATACTCATGCTCTGCTGCAATATGCAAACTAACAAATGACTCAAACTGTTTCACAACTTCCAGTTTCCTGGGGAAACAAAGCTATTACTTTATTTATGTCTGTGCACAGTCCAGGAAAAC